AATTTTTTGACAAATGTATGTTCCCTAGTGAATTATTTGACTCATATTTTTATTTCACCCAAAACATTTTGGGTTTCCTGTTGCCTTTTCTTAAATTCAGAATTATAGTGTGTCAGCTAACAGGACCTGCCCCACTCACAGCTGATTATCATCCCATTGATTGAAACACCTGTCTAATTTCCCCTTGAAATGAACTGGTATTGAACTAAAGACTGAAAAGCCAATATCATAATATAGGGAAATTATCTTGGCATCTAGAAGAGACCTAGAAAAGATAAAGGGAAGCTGCTTTATAAAAAGATGAATTCTGGGAATAGCGTAGCTCATCTAGAGGGGGAGGGGGGCAGAAGCCGTCTCCTCTTCTAAAACACTATTATAGCATTGAAGCGACCTGTTCTCCACACCCCCATAGACGTTCGAAGAAGCCCAGTGCAAAACAGCAATAGGACGATCAGGACTCTAGAGGGCGCTCTCGTGTAACATAGATAGTGAAGAAGAACTCGCCAATAGAGCAGAAATTTATCTCACCAATGAAGGCAAATTCTGTTATAAATTATCTTCTAAAGTGCAAATTCTCTCTACTAGGGAGGAGTCAACCAAAAAGCAAAAGTTCAGTGCAAAAGAACTGCAAAAGGAAACATAATAGATTAACCCAATATAACTGCCAATAGACGGAGGGGACTTCTTTAGCATCTCCTAAAACGATCTGGTCCAGATTTTCAGCGGCTTCTGAGGTCCTTGGAAGTTTTTCCAGGGAGAGTTTCGCAAGGAGCGCGATCGGAGGCTGGGATCCACTCCCCTCCAGCCTCCTCTTCACGCCGTTGCGGTTTTTCCTGTTCAAACGCCTAAAAGAGGAAACCGAAAGCTCTAAGGAGCGCCGGTGGAGGAAAAGGAGAGAAAAAAAAATCCTCTCCGCTAGACAAGGGCCACTTAAAGAGATGCGGGGACGGACGGAAGGCTGTGTGATCGCAATTCATGTCCTCTTTTTTTCTTTTTATTTCTGGCGATTCCTGCAAAGATTGTGGAAGCCTCCGAGGGGTTGAAAATGAGCCCCTCCAAGCGCGGGACTTGCGTACTTTGGGAGAAAGAGAGAAGGGAAAGAGAGGTCGAGGGATGTGTTTGAGTTCAGTGGTTCGTTTTAGCCTGGGAATAACAGGACTTTATAAACTTGGACAGTTTTCCTCTCATCTCTGAACAAGCAGAAGGTTCCTGGCCCCAAATTATTATTTATTGCTACTGTGAAAGGGTCAAGAATGAAGTTTTTTTCTGGAGTCCTCCATTAAGGCATGAGCAGTGGTGGGTTCCAACCGGTGTTACCACCGGTTTTCTTTGCCCACGCGCTTTGATGCTTTTAGATCCATCTACCAGTAATAGGACAGGAGAGCAAGTACAATAAAACCTTGCCCAAATGGAAAGGCCATTTAACTGGGGGATCCGAGGAGATGCTAAGATTAGAAAGAGACCTTTTGCATTGAAAAATATTATGTTCTCCGTGTTCTGATTAACGTTTTCTCAACTGATGTCTATGGAGATTCACAATCATCCAGGTCATGGTTCTCCCAAAGACAATAATTACAGTGGATGATGGAGGCTGTTTATTTTGTTTATACTCTAGATGATGGGGTTTTTTTGGTGACAAATATGGAATTAAGTATGGAGGTCTGATGCTACAGAAAAGAAAAACAGCTACTAAGATTAACGCACAAATTATTAATAAAACATGTCATTGACGCAATACAGATAGTTCTCAACTTACAACTGCAATTTGGACCAGAACGTCCATTGCTACCATGTTTCCCCGAAAATAAGACCCTGTCTTATATTTTACATTACGCAAAGCAGCTTCTAAGTGAAACCACAACTGTGTTTATGTTTTTCAACTTTCCTTACTTTATAGACCTTTAAAGGCCGTAAATGTGAGACTTGGTTGCTTTTCCACCACTGATGTAACTGTGAATTCTTGTTAAATGAGGACTGCTGGAAGACATTCTACCTCACCCTGAGCACAAGGGGATTGCTTAAGGAGAGAATGAGCACATCCACACAGCCTCCTGACTTTGCCTCTTGAAATCATTCTTTAAGGACTCATCTGCATGATAGAGCCTCCCTTACATTTCCAGTCCATAGCTGAGGGCAGCTACCATTGGCTTTCAATGTGGAAATCAGGTTAACACAGCTCTTGTTATAGGCATAATTTGTATTGTTTCTCTGATAGGATGGCTGCTGACTTCCCTCCAGGAGCATCTGGGGTTGTGATGCTGGACAGACATGATCCCAGAGGAAGAGCAGCCCCACCAAGACCGTAGAAAAGCAAAAATCAGAACTGGTGGGGAGCCACTTCCCAGTCAGATCAGTTTTAGTTTCCCGGCAGAGTAGTTGCTCTGTGGGTTGGTTCTGTTTCTATGTGACTGACAGGCCGCTCTAGGAAGGGAATTCTTTACTGCTTTCTCTACCACTCTTGAGGTTGTGCTAGTGATAGGTCAAACTCTCTCTACAATGACCTTTCTGCCAGCCTGGGTAGGGGGAAAAGGCCCAACAGGCAAGTCACCCTGTGAGGCATTCCTTGTGACCAGGTTTCTGCTCAGTGGTCTTTTTGTTAGAGTCACAAAAAAATAATAGTAGAGCCGGACCTCTGTAGACACAGCACTCCATGAAGGGATCTGCCTGATGGGCCATTAGTTTTTGTAATGGATGGCCAGGCAAGTTATTCCAAGATCACTAAAGTTGAAAGATAGTTAAATCAAGTCACTCCAGCCCTCTTTCAAAACTCTCCTCCTCCTCCCCTTCCCTCCTTGCACCCAGGTTAGAGGGAACAATTGGGAGTTTTCCTCTGCAATACACCGTTAGGATTATGCACAGGGAGCAAATCCTATCACCCCCATAGACGTTCGAAGAACAGGCCAATAAAAAACAGCAATAGGAGGATCAGGACTCTAGAGGGCGCTTCCGTGTAACATACATAGGGAAGGAATGAGGGACTATCCAACAGAGCAAAAATTTATCTCACCAAGGAAGGCGAATTCTGTTATAAATTATCTTATAAAGAGAAAATTCTCTCTATACTAGGGAGGAGTCAACCAAAAAAGCAAAATTCAGTGCAAAATTAGTGCAAAAGGAAACATGATAGGTTAACCCAATATAATTTTGCCAATGCACGGAGGGGACTTCCTTAGCATCTGCTTCTTGGCAAAACGATCTGGTGCAGATGTTTCAGCGGCTTTTCCAGGGAACTTTTCGCAAGGAGCGCAATCGGAGGCTGGGATCGACTCCCACCAGCCTCACCTTCTCGCCGTTGCGGTTTTACCTGTTCAAACGCCTAAAAGAGGAAACCCGAAGCTGTAAGGAGCGCCGGTGGAGGGAAAGGAGAGAAAAAGAATCCTCTCCGCTGGACACTTAAAGAGATACGGTGGGTGGGGGTGGGGTGGGGGACGACGGATAGACGGAAAGGCTGTGATCGTAATTCATGTCCTCTTGTTTTTATTTCTGGCGATTCCTGCAAAGATTGTGGAAGCCTCCGAGGGATTAAAATGAGCCCCTCCAAGCGCGGGACTTGTGTACTTTAGGAGAAAGAGAGAGCGAAAGAGATGCGGAGGGATGAGTTTGATTTCAGTCATTCGTTTTAGCCTGGGAATAACAGGACTTTATAAACTTGGACAGTTTCCCTCTCATCTCTGAACAAGCAGAAAGTTTCTGGCCCCAGACTGTTATTTGTTGCTACAGTTAAAGGGTCAGTAAAGATGTTTTTTTTTCTAGAGTCCTCGATTAAGGTGAGTAAATCCCTCCTTTTAGTAGGTGGGGGGAGCCCCGCCCTCCACTTGTTCCCGTTAAATTGCGTTCGTTTCCCCTGAGGCGCCAGTGTATTTCGTCTTGAGCGGTTCTCGTGAGTAGTTTCTGATTACTTGTTTTAAAAAATGGAATGAATATGTGGCCCATCCCGTGCCTGCCGGTTCTCCCCTGCAGCCATCCACCCGCGGTCTTCTCAGCCACGCAGCCACCGCAGGTCTTCTAGATGGGAGGATCTCAGGGAGAATTAGCGGACAGGGAAGAGTTTGCAATCAGTCTTGCGATGATAGAAGTGCCCAATACGCGCAAAGGCGCTGTGTAAAATTACAAGAATTCAACATTTCAAGTTCACCGTTCAAAGGAGGGTGGATGGGTCGATTTTCGCTTAACTTTGACTTCCAATTAATACAGTTTAAAGAGGAAGTAGCGTCCTGTACAAATTCATTCATTCGGGCTATTGGGTCAGAGTTTTAAAAATCCGGAGCGTTATTAGATGTCGGTGGCAGTTGGGATTTTACTGAATCACTTTACTTTTTTCTGGGATTGTCCGGAGTTTTGTTAGTAAGCCCAGGCTAATTGTCCAATTGTGTTCTGATAAGAGACCTCCCCGCATCAGTGAAGTAAAGGTGGGATACAGATCCTGCTCTTGTGCCCTTCACAGTAACTGTTCTGTCCCAATTGGTATGACCTTTCTGGAAGATCACGATCAACATGCTCATCCATGCTGGATGCCTTTAGATCCATCTACCAGTAACAGGACAGGAGGGCAAGTAGAATAAAACCTTGCCCAAATGGAAATGCCATTTAACTGGGGGATCCGAGCTGGTGCTAAGATTAGAAAGAGACCTTTTGCATTCAAAAATGTTATATTGTGTATATTCTGATTAACGTTTTCTCAACTGATGTCCATGGAGATTCACAATCCTCCAGGTCATGGTTGTCCCAAAGGTGATTTTCAAAAGGCATCTGGACTTTCCTGGTTTTTCCTTGAAAACATTTCACTTCTCAACAAAGAAGCTTCTTTGGTTCTGACTGAATGGTGGGGAAAAGAAGGATTTCTATCCCTGAGAAAGGTGTATGTTTTGTACTACCCTGTTCCCTGAACCCTTCTGGAAATCTTTGCAGTTTTACTGCAGGCAAATGTTATCTCATAAAGTGAGATTAAGGAGAAGGACCAGAATTTGCCTCCTTGATGTTAAGCTATTAACTTTTCCTTACTTGTTTGTTTGCAGGTAATTTAACTGTGGCAACACTTCCAAGCAAGAATGGCCAGTGGAACCACAGTTGTCATCCCCTCTAATGGAGCAAACATGATCCAAACGGCTGCTGGATTGCCCAGTGTTGCTCTTCAGGCATCTGGAGCAACTCCATATCCTCAGTATGTAGCTCAGCAACTTAGAATTTCCACCAGTGCTCCTCAACAAGTCCCACAAAAGGGTCCTTTGGAGACATTCCTCAATGCTGAATCCAAAGTGCTTGGGGTACGCATGCATTGCTATGTGCCTGTTTGAATCCATTAAGGTTTTAGAGCTATGGACACTTGAGAGCCCCATGTTGAAGTTCTGGAACTTGGCTTGGCTGTTGTCTGGTTCTGGAATATACTCTGGTTCTGGAATATAAACCTCTGTTCTTCCTGGTAGTTCCATTTGTGTTGCTGCAAAACATTCTGACTCTATATTCATTCTTTTGCTTTGGATTTTAACTGAGAAAATGGAGCTCAGCCATGGTTTCAGCCAGATCTCTTTTTCTCCCTTTCCTCTGAGAAGTGTAGTTTTTGGGCATTTCTCCAGAAGAACCTGATCATGGATTGGCTCCAGCCAAAACCAGTTGAAGTCACTTTGTGCTTATGACCGTGATTAACTTCTTGCTCAGTGGTGGGTTGCTACCGGTTCGGACGAGGTCGTGTGAACCGTTGGCGAAAATTTGGCCAAGGTCGCAGAATCGGTAACGGTGGCCAGCTGGCCACGCCCCCAAACCATTCCCCCAGTCTCTGGTCACTTGCCCCGGCTGCTATGCTCATTGCCGCCATGTTCTTCACGCTCGCGCATCCCATTAGCTTGCAAGTCCAATGGGATGCACATGCGCGAAGAACATGGCGGCAACAGCAGCAGCTTTTTCTGCCAGTATGTTTTGGCGGCCTGCAGAGAAAGCAAGTGGCAAAGAAGCCTTTTCCCAGGCTTTTTTGCCAGCCGCTTTCCAGCAGTTGCGCCTGGCTGGGGGCTGCCAAAAACTACAGTCAGCTTGCCTTCCGGACTGTGGACCAGGCGTGGAAGATAAGCACCCTAAACAAGGAGGCGGAGGTGGGGGAGGAAAGTGGGCAAGCGGGCCTGGCCATGGGGATTTCCGGGACACCTCTCCGCTGGCCCCGCGCCACTGATGCCTGCAGCAGCAAAAACTGCGCAGGAAAAGTCCCCGGGAGTTCCAAGACTCCCTGCTGCTGCCGCCACCGATGCTTTCAGGCAGCGGTAAAAGCTGCGCAGGAAAAGTTTTGGGGCACTGAAGCTCCCGTTTCGACCCCTGCCCTGCCTCCACCTGCCATGGCCTGAAGCTCCTGTTTTGGGTGCCGCCGCCGCCACTGCAGCCAGGCATTTTCTCTTGGGCCTCCCAGTCTCAGTCTCCTAGACTTTGAAGGAGGGAGGGAGGGAAAGAGAGAGTGAAAGAAAGAGAGAGAGAGAGAGAGAGACAAATAAAATGAAAGAAAGATAAAAAAAGAAAGAGGAAGGAAGAGACAAGAAGGAAAAAGAAAGAAAGAATGAAAGGAAAGGAGAAAGAGAGAAAAGAAAGAATGAATGAAAAAGAGACAGAAAAAACAAAGAAAGAGAAAGAAGGAAAAAGGAAGGGCGAGAGAGCAAAAATAAAGAAAAAAGAAAAAGAGAAAAAGAAAGAGGAAGGGAGAGAAGAAAGAGAGAAAGAAGGAAAGAAGAGGAAGGGAGGGGGAGAAAGAGAGAGAGAGAAAGAAAGGAAGGAAGAAGAGGAAGGAAGGAACACAAACCCTGGCACTAGACGTGGTTTCAGAAGACTCTTTGAAACAGGACAGCAATCTAGGGCTGGAAGGGATCTTAGAGGCCATCTAGTCCAACCCCCTGCTCCAGCAGGAAACTTTACTGGATTATTTTGGTGCCTCTAACAGAGAGGAAAATTGTCAGAAAGGAGAAGGAGTTTACTAGGACAAGGCTGCCATGCAGAGAAAGGCAGAAATAGTCCTTGATTTATGAACAGAATTGAGCCTAAAATTTTGATTGCTAAGCAAGAGCGTTGTTAAGTGAGTTTCACCACATTTTACTCAATCCATGATCTCTCCTGGCTCTAACAGTGATGTGCAAGTTAGGGAAGAACATCTGAAGGTGTGTGTAATGTTCTAAATGTGTAGAAGTTATAGTTAAAAGTGTGGCAGAAAGTGGAATCTGGGTATGTTTTTCCAAATGTAGTAAGTGAGGTTGAATATGTATAGTTTTAGAAGAGATGTGTGTGTGTGTGTGTGTATGTGTACATACACATACAGTATATATAGTAAATAATGTATCTTTTTGTGTGCCTATACACTATACTATGTAATATGTATGTACACATATGGCATATGTACATAAGATTAAATAGTATATTTTGGATGTTCAGTAGTAGTAAATGAAGAGACAGGGAAATTGTATCTCTTTGAGGCGAGGAGAGGCCAGGCACCCTAACCGTAACCCTTGACATGAGTGACGTCAAGCTGGCCACGCCTACCCAGTCACATGACCACCCAGTTACGCCCACCCAGTCACATGACCACCAAGCCATACCCAGACACGTGACCATCAAGCCACGCCCAGTCACATGATGACCAAGCCATGCCCACACAGTCAGATGACTACCAAGCCACACCCACCAAATAAGCCATGCCCACAGAACCGGTAGTAAAAAAAATATAGAACCCACCCCTGTTCCTGCTGCAGAGAAGTCTGTAGTGAGAGGTGTCATTTTTCTCTTAAAGGCTTATCTTGATATTCTTACAGACCTTCTTCCTGACAAAATCCACTGAGTTTGACCACTGAGGGTCAAACTAGATCATAATCTGGAGGAAATGTCTGCTACATAGTGACAGTGGTGTCTCAAACTGCCCCTTCTCCCCATTTGGATTTTTCACCATAGGAAACCAGGCCTTGGGTCAATACCTGCAATGGAAATTTAGAAACTCCCAACTCCTTTGAAGGACCTTTCAAAGATGGATAGAAAGTGATGCCTTTCCTGGGGTGCTAACAAATTAAAATGTTTTTCTCAGATTCAGCAAATGAAGTTGTCTCATTTTGTGTGTTTTCCTTCCGCAGGCTGTCCAAATATTGATTGGGCTGATCCACATTGGCTTTGGCGCTGTCTCGCTTTCTTCACTCTTTTCTTCAGACTTTTTTTCCCCCCTTTCTTCAGTTGGAGGTTATCCCTTTTGGGGAGGGATATTTGTAAGTATGTGCAAATTTTTGTTGAGTCATGCACCATTGTAATAATGGCTAATGGATTCTTATAAAAGTCTTGTTTGCATTGGAGTCTATCTGGCTTCTCATGGGCGCCAGATTTTTCTGACATTTTCCCCCTTTTATTTCCAGTGAACTACAATCATTTGTTTTTCTTTTTCGTTTTCCATAGTTTATTTCTTCTGGATCACTTTGTGTAGCAGCTGCAAACAATTCGAATCGTGGTTTGGTGAGAAACCTGTGTAGCATTTCAATTTATTTTATGCTGTTTCTTTGTAAGCCCTCAGGACCTTTTACTGTGTCAATTCTCTTCAGATACTGTCCAGTTTTAAATCAACATTTAGGAAAGAAAAGCAAACTCAAAAGTGCCCCCCCCCAATCTTCCTTCTTTGATCAACTTTTGCTTCCAAGTCCTGCTTCCATTGAAAGTTCTAGGTCAACAGTAGAGAATGTTCAACCATCCAGAATTTGAGCCTCCCCTGGTCTCAATTTTGCGACCCAGATGGTTGGATACAATATGCTGATTCTGTAAACCACTTAGAGAGGGCTGTAAAGCACTGTGAAGCGGTATATATAGTCCTGAGCAGAGGTGTCTTCTTGCATGCTCTAGTCTTGAACCAGACCTCCAACATTATTCCTCCTCCTCCTCCTCCTCAATAGAGGGTCCAGTTTCAGAAGTATTGCTACATGAAAGCAACATTAGAAAGAAGCCCAGCATGTTAGGAGTAAAAGTGTGGAACTAGAGTGAGAATCATTGTGGGAATCAAAGGGAAGAGAGAGCTGATGGTAGCCCTCCTGCAAAGAGCTTGTATTCTTCTCCTCTGTTTCTCTTTGATTTAAAGAGTATTCATAGCAACATAGACATGTTTTTGTCTTTTAAAGGAACAAAGTATAGATTCAAAAGAAGAAAAACGGCCATCTTGATAGAAAAATACTACATTCCTGAAAGGGGAGAACTGAAAGACCAATTTTAAATTTTTCAGTATTCTTACTACTGGCTCCAAGGGTTCTCCAGTCCCATCTCTCTGGTAGACTCTCTGTAATGTTTTATAGCTAAAAGAACATTTAACATTAACAATGAATGCTTAGAGTATGTCATGTCTTACAATAAATAGTGTGGCATTTCTTTAAGCAAAGTGTTAAGGGATGAAAAAGTTGTACCACTTTTCCTGTCAGTTTTAACTACCTGGTCTTCAATGGAGACTGTCATCCAGAAAGAAAAAGAAGGAATTTGACAGTTTTAGAAAACCCTTCGTATGGAGTTGTGGGCTTTGCATTTCCACTGTGGGAAAATGTGTTGCTGCTGCTGTTTGATTCCTATGATCTCCGTGGATGTTGTCTGGTTCCACCACTGACAGGTTATGTGTCATTAACACCCACAGAGAATTTCTTTGCCACTGTTTTTACCATAGTTGGGGCCAATTTTTTTAATGCTTTGCATAAATCTATGCTGCAACACAGTGACACTGTAACTGTATTTTCTCTCTTTCTGGTGTATTGCTGTTTCAGGTGAAATCTAGTGTAGGACTGAACATCACAAGTGCTGTAATGGCATTAATTGGTATCATCCTGTACCTATGCGAGCTGATCATCAATCCTGCTTTTATTACATATCACCAGGTATATGACACTGAAAATGTACTTGTAAGTAAAACAATCTGGTCTTAAATTTTGGCTTCATGTGCAGAATCCGGAAGGAGATTATATACGCAGCCAGGATATCTCAGACCCTTTGACTTTTGTTTGAAAATTTTCCTTGAATAAGTCTCAGTCTCTAAGAGATGTGTTGTATTTCATTTGAATTTTTAAAATATACATATATTTGTTAAATAAGGGCAAACAACCTTCTGGTCATCAAGGTACAAAGTGCTTAGGACTTTGTAGATTTCTTCTTTCTTCTCCAGTTTCTTTCTTTTTGGTGGGGAGGGGGACATTAAAAAGAAAAGTAAATATGTTTTAGACATACCTTTTGACTTTGTCACTGTACAGTGTAAACATTTGGTTGTTTTACAGTAGGGCTTGGGTGCTCACACAACACAAAGGAATGCTTGAGAATACTATATAGCATAGAATACAGCTGCACATGTTGAAATCAATACCAGGTTTTCCTGCCACCCCCACCTCCTCATCCCTTCTTTGCATTTTCCACCCAGTTTTAGAAAACTGAAATTTAGGTAAGTTCTGAAGTGTGGACAGTTTAGAACCATACTGATACCTGGGATCAATGGCTTGAATTTTTAGCATTTTTTGTAAAGTGCTGTCCTTTGCTTTCTTGTAAGTATTAAATCATAAAAGTATCACATCCAGGGCTTTTCTCCTTTCTAGCCTGACAGATGATTGGAAAGAAGTTGGGTAAATAAAATAGATCAAGCTGCATCCTTATTGAGGAGGGGAAACAATATATCTTAGACTGGCTGAATCTAAATCACATTGCTGCCCTTAACTATACCCTGTTGATGCCAATTTTCCCATGAGGTTAACTTTACCTTATCCCCAGCCCATGAGTAAGATTTACACCTAATGTAAGTCATTAGCTGTACTGGTATAAAACTAGTCTTTTCCTCTCCCCTTATTCTGAGCCCATCCAACAACAGCCTCAAGGTATGTAAAATCTTTTTCCCTTCCCCTGTTATCTTGGAGAAAATGTCAGGTGATCAACAGTGGATATCTTAGGAAAGTGGGGAGGCCTGTCAATTTTCCTCTTTGGACTAGCCAGCCTTTGTCTTAACCATTTCTTTCTCCTTCTCCCTTAGCACTTTGTTTCTTGAGGTTTCCTATTCATCTCCTCTCTCCTCCATCATCCCGAAGGTGGTTTTTCAAGAGGCAACTGGACTTTCTTGTTTTCCCGTAAAGACTTTTCATTTCTCATCCAAGAAGCTTCTTCAGCTCTGACTAGACTCAACAACTCAGCAAAACATAAAAGATGTTAATAATGTTCCTTGATGCAGTTTTCTCATATCACAGAGGCTGTACAGGCAGTCTATAACTGAATGAACAACTATTCATTTAGTGACCATTCAAAGTTTCAGTGGCACTCAAAGCTATGACCACTCCTCGCATGCATGGCCACTGCAGTGTCCCCACAGTCACCTGATTAAAATTGGGGGGTGGGGGGTGTTGGCTACTAGCAATTTATTTAGGACAGTTGCAACATCCCCTTTGCGACTTTCCCAGCCAGCTTCTGATCAGCAAAGACAGTAGGGGTGGGGAAGTTGGATTCAGTTAACAATCATATGAGTCTCTTAACTGCAGCGATTTGCTTAACAACAGTGGCAGAAAAGGTAAAATTACGCACGACTCACTTAACAATCACTTTGGTTAGCAGTGGAAATTCTGGTCCCAATCGTGGTTTTAAGTTGAGGTTTACCTATCAGTGTCTCTGTTTTTCCCAATACAATTGTTCTTCCCAGTGTTTCCTTTTAATGGTGTAGCACATTAAATAAAATAAAATAAAATATATACCATTACATTAATTTCTCAGCAGATTACAACTATCTTTCCACATGTCTACAGGATGTTAGACCGAGTATACCGAATAGCAGTTTTGGCCTTTCCTGTGTGTTGCTCTTGTTCAGCCTTCTGGAATTCTGCATCGCTGTTCCACTGGCTCATTTTGGCTGCCAGGCAGCTTGCTGTAGGGATGACCAGGTAAATATTTGATACTCCGATAATAGCTTTAGCATTCTCATTGTTAAAGAATGTAAAAAAGATTGTCCATTTTTCTTCTTTATATATGCACTCCACCTAACCTGACCATTTGCTGGTTTCTTTGCTATTACCCTGAAGAATAAGTGAGATTGGCTACTCAGGATCCCCAGTAAGAGTTATAACCAGTGGTGGGTTGCTCCCGGTTCACACCGGTTCGAAAGAACCGGTAGTAAAAAATTTTAATAGTTCAGAGAACCGGTAATAAGCTTGGCTGGTCATGCCCCTGAACCGGTTCCCAGCCCGGTCGCTAGTCGCTTACCCCGCCCACTCCCAATCTATTGCTGCCTCCTGAGTCCCAGCTGATGGCTAGAGGGAAAAAAACTGTTTAAACTCTTGCCGCGGGGCTTCAAAGGGCCGTCCTACAGCTGATCAGTGTTAAAAGAAAACAAATGAGTAGACTGATGCTTGCAAAAATAAATGGGTAGACCCAGTGGTGGGATTCTACTTCGGTAAAACCGGTTGTTAAGTAGTTAAGTAGTTAAGCCAGTGGTTGCCAAAGTGGGCGGTACCGCCCCCTGGGGGACGGTGGGATGCCTTAGGGGGGCGGTAAGAGGCAAGGGGGGCAGCAGGGGGGCGCTAGAGGCAAAAGGGGGTGACAGGGGGACTAAGTGACAAGGAGGGTGGCCCCCCCTTTGGTCTGTGCCTCGCAGCAATTACCTCCTTGCAAGCATACAGCAAGAAAAAACAGCCCCTTTCAGCTTCAGCATAGGTTAATTAGCACAAGTTGATTAGATCGGCCTCCCGACTCTCAGCTGATTTGCTCTCAGCTGTTTTGCTAGCTGCAAAGAGTGCTGGAGCAGATTTTTTTTCCCGTAGCTATGCTGAAAAAACAAAACTGAAAGTAAAGCCGGCTCTTTGCTGCAATGTGACAAAATGAGTCAGGGAGAGATTTCTTTTTCTTTTTCCTCACCAAAAAAGGTAGGTGCAAACAATGGGAAATTTAGGACAAAAGAGGAGAATTCAAGATTTTAAAACACAAAAGAAAAAAAAGCTCTATTTAACTAGGGAATTGTAATAATTGAGATACTATTAATTGTATACTGTGTTGAAAGCAGAAATGGTTAAGTTGTGGTTTGGAGGAATATATGGGGGAAATTATTTGGTTTATTATTATTGGTAAATATAATTAATTGATTTGTAAGAAATTGAATTGCATGGAAATAATTGGAATATTCATGTTCATATTGATTAATATACAAGAAAGATAGTTATATAACTAATTGATTTATATTAAAATGTTGAATTTGTATTAAACAACTGTAATATTACATAATTAACCAATGTGAGGATGGATATAAAAATAGATGACAATGAGAAGGGGTATAATATAGAATAGAAGGGAAAAATTGAATTTTGATTAAGATTAGAGATGAGGATGAAGGGTAATATTGTTTTTTAAAAAAATAGATGAGGAATAAATATGGCAAAAAGGAAATATAGAAATTGTAAATTTAATTGAAATGACTAAACACTGTTTAAATTTGTGAACCGGCCAAATACTCTGTTCAAAGAAAATACATTGTATGTTTGTATGTGTGTTTCTAATTATTGCTATTTATTCATATTTGTTCTCTTTTATTCTTTAAAATTTAACAATTCATTCTTTATCTTAATATCTTTATATTTGTTTGGGGTTGGCTTTCTTCCCTTTCATCTTTTTTATTGTACAGCAATCTTTCTCCTCAAACCTAGCACCTCTCTCTTTTCTTTCCTTCTTACTTTCTATCCCCCCTTCTTCTCCTCCCTACTTCCTCTTCCTTTCTCCTTCTCCTCCTCTCTTCCTCCCTCTCTTACTCTCACTCCTACTCTAATTTCCCTTCCCTTCCTTCCTCCCTTCTCTTCCTTCCTTCCCTCTCTCTCCTTCCTTCTTCCATCGATTTTCTCCTTCCTTCATCCCTCTCTATTGCTGTATCCTTTTGTGCATATGGACTACTCAGAGGGCTGAAAAAGTTATTTTTGACTGGTCCTCGCACTTTTGACCAGTCCTCGAACTTATGACTTTCCTCACATTTTATGTTTTTGCCCTATCTTGTCACCATGGTGAAGAGAAGCAGTTGTGAAATGAGTGACACGGTTGTTAAGAATGCTACAATGGGCATAAATGATGACCAGTCATAAGTGTGAAGACTGGTCAAAAGTGTGAGGACCTGTCAGAAATCACTTTTTTTCAGCCCTCTGGGTAGTCCTTTTGTGCATATGGACTACTCAGAGGGCTGAAAAAGTTATTTTTCTATACACATAGCCATGGCCACCCAGTCACATGACCAACTAACCACGCCCACCCAATCACATGACTGCCAAGCCACACCCACAGAACTGGTAGTAAAAAATTTTAGAACCACCCCTGATTATAACTTACTTTAAGTAAGAACCAGTAAAACGAATGGAAAAATCCCTATCTGTAGATCAGCATTTCTCAGTCTTGGCAAGTTTAAGATAGGCGAACTTCATGCTGCCTGGGGAATTCTGGGAATTGAAGTCCATGCACCTTAAAGTTGCCAAAGTTGAGAAACATGGGCCTACATGAGAGTTTAGGGTTTTCCATTCCTGGTTTATTTAGTGTTTGGTACAATTAAATAAATCTGTTGTGGTTTCCTTAACAATAGTGATTAAAGTGATATGAACCATTACTGGACTTTTTGTGAGAAACTGAAATTAAAAGTTGATCTGGGGCTTTGATGATTAGATATGGGATTATGGAAATAATGTAGACAAATGTTAATCTTAGAGTTTGATATATTTTTTACTTATATCTGTACCAAAGAAAGTTGGAAGTCATTCTTTTTTGGTTTTCCTTCTTTTCCTTTTCCTTTCTTACACTTTCACTCATTTTCTTACCTGAGCCTTTTCTTTTTTCAAATCTTTTTTATTTGTTTATCCCTTAGCTTTGTGTTTTTTTGAAGTATGAAGGATCAAAGTCTTAGCCATTATAATTCTACATTCCTTATTTACAGAAATCATATCAAAATTTAGAATGAAATCCACTGGGAGCCATCTCATATAAGGCAGACTCTGAGTCCCTCTAACCAAAAAGTGTTTATCGATAGAAGATATTATTTATACTCAGGGCTGAACTCTGAGCTTGATGGTTTTCTTGCAGATGTTTCATTAACAAATTAGGTAACATTATCAGTACTAGAAGGGAGTGGAGTTTGCTCTTATTTTCATATACTAGTGGCTTACCTCATCAGGGTTGATCAGTTGCTTCACAAAAAGTGTTTTGATTGGTGCCAGATCTCTACAGCCTCAGGCAGAGAAGGGCTATTCTGTGTCCCTCCCTCAAATGTTTTTTAAAATACAGAGTTTCCCAGCATTCCTTTAGGAACCTCCAACATGCAAACTGTGATTACTCATCCTAAAATGAATCCTCTTAACCCGGAGCTTCAAAATTTGCTGTTTGCTGGGAAGGTGTGTAGCTAAAAGTCAGTCTACATTTAGTGTGCATCTGACTTTGGGGATATTTCTTCATACCCAAACATAAGTGTATTTTTGGTGCAGTTCACACCCCTTGCTCACTGGATCTGGATGTCACAAAGCAAAGCCCACATTTTGTAATTAACCTCTGTGCCCTGTTTTGGCTGGCTGAGTGCTGTCATGTACCCTGACCATGCCCACACTGGCCACACCACGCCCCCAGCCATGCCCCTGGCCCTCCGAGGTCAAACACAACCCTGATGCGGCCCTCAATGAAATTGAGTTTGACACCCCTGTTCTACAGTAACGACAATTGGCTTCCTTTTGTACCAATAACAAAGCTACTCTCAACCTTTCAGAAATGCTTTAGATTAATTGGAGAGGCAGAAAATGGGACAGAACAAAGACTGAAGGGGGTAAATATGATTGGATCTAACAAAAGAGAAGAACTCTAAAAATACTGTAAGCAGCTAAACCATCATACAGAGATACCTGTCTTGGAGCCCTCGGTGGTCTCTAGCTTGGTTGTTTTCGTGGTGATGTTTCATTACTCAAAGTAAGTAACATCATCAGTGCTGGTTTATTATTTGGGTAGTAAAACATTTGCAAAAGACACGCAAGCTCAGAGACCATCATTTTAACCCTGAGCTACAAATATTGTCCTTTATTGGTACCTGTATCAATTCACAGCACTATCAGTTGGAGCCATTTCAGAAATCAAAAAATAACTTCCCATGTAGGGAAATGCATCTTCTTCAGTTAATAATCTGATAGGTTTTGTGAATAAATCACAAGAATATTGTTTGTTTGTTTGTTTATTTGTTTGTTTATTTGCTTATTTGCAAAGTTGGATCTTATGAGTAACCAAACAGCAACATAAAATATAAGCAATATAAAACTGCAATAAAAACTAATGCACAAAATAAAGTCAGTCCTCAAAGGTCCTCAGGAGAAGCCAGTTGACTTCTCTTACCACTCACCACTTTCCAGAGGATCATCTCAGTTGGTACCATCTTTATTTCAGAAGGGCATCTATTCCATACCGGGAACACTGACTGGGGTGGAGGCTGGGAGGAGCTTCCTGTCTCACCTCTTGGTAGGTGGGAGATCCTGAGCAGACATGTTCTCTGAATGTGGGCATAAAGCTGGCAGATTCGATCAGGAAAAGTCACTTAAAAGCCCTAAACCATTTGCATGTTAATTTATAGTTTTAAAGAATTCTCTATCAGGCCTTCCGGTTTTTGCTAGCTCCGGTGAAGACGGTGCCTTTTTAAGGACCGCCAGCCCCGCCGTTTGTAGAGCCGCTTCGATCATGAGAAGCGGCTTGAAAACTCCAGAATCTTCAGGATTTGAAGGAGAGAGCAAGCAAGGCACAGGTTGAGCCCCTGTGAGTCCCCAGAAGTTTGCTATTGGGGGGGAAACAGGCGCGGCTCCCTTTCAACTTGCGAAGACTCCGAGCGGCGTGGGACGACTCTGCTTCCTGCAGAGCAAACCGGCAGCAACAAACACGAAAATTGAATGAAACT